CCCCCGGCCCGCCCCCCCCCTGCCGCATTCCCCCCTGCCGCAACTCTACATGCGACAAACTTGCAAACTCCGCTGGTCGAGCGCCACCAATCTCAATTGCACCTGTCGCAATGCTTTCTGCGACAAACTTGCTAACTCTGCTGGCCGAGCACCACCAGTCTCAACTGCACCTGCCGCAACTCCTCCTGCGACAAACTAGAGAACTCCGCTGGCCGAGCTCCACTGTTCGCAAACGCTCCTATTCGCGTAATCTGCACGCGAACTCCTGTTCACGAACTCCACCTCGCTGAACACCGCGAAGGTTCGTGAACTGTCACACCTCGTTTCGCAAACAATCTGCTTCGGCTTCTTGTTCGCCACGAACCACACGCGAACTTTGATCCTTCTTCCTGCTTCCTTTTTCCTGCGTCGATCTCCTCCGCCCTAGAACCTAAATTCTCTCTGATACCAATTGTTGTAAAATTTAGGGCGAAAATAAGGCAAATCCAGAAGAAGAACACAGAGATTTAACGAGGTTCGACAAAGATGCTTACATCCTCGGGAGCGAGCGACGAATTCGAGCGACGAATTCACTATTTAACCCATAAGGTTACACATCTATTTATAGATAAAACCCACAGATAATTACAAATACACCCTCGCTCCCCCCAACCCACTAATTACCCTCGCTCCCCCCAACTCCCCCCAACCCACTAATTCAAGAGACACACATCTTCACACTAAAAGACATAGCTCTTCATCCCAGGAGACACTCCTCTCCAAATCTAAGAGACTCCAAATTCCTGGTATATGAGCCATACCTAACACTTTGTTGGTCGATTCTCTGTTTCGCGAGAACTTACAATAGCTAAGGTAGCCAAATCCCAAACTTATATCCTAAACAAGGTCCCAATACGAGAGATACCCTTGGAAGTGAGATGCACGAAACATTGTGAAAGCGGGTACAGGAAGAAGGTGGCGGTGAAAACGAGTATAGTCATACTTTCGAGTTGTGTGACATTTTTCTTACTTCTATGAGATTGTCCCAACACAAGGATGTAAAATTTGAAGTTTGGTTGTAAGATACTAAATATCAATTATTTTGAGGGCTATGCATGTGACTGCCCCTATTAAAATCATAATATGAGAGTAGAACAGTTATCAATAGCCAAAATCACCTTAATCCAAGATATCAGGATTCAAAATATTGATAATTTATTTCTCCCTTACGTGCCTTAAAACTTTTTTCATCCTCGGAATCATTTACCCTCAACTCTCACTCACACTTGATCGATTGCAAGTTCTGATCACAATCCTCATTCATGTGAAATATAAAAACTAAGACCAAACTGGCAAAATTATAATATAAATATAAATAAAATTTCTAGAAATATTATTTCAGAAAAAAAACAAGAATTCAAGCCATAAATAAAACACCTGTAATTTTCCTGGAAGTCTACCAGTGCCAGAACACTGCATAATAAATTCACCTCTCTCGTCAAATCGATACTTCTTTTGCATTATTATTTTATATTATGTGTTCTCATTAAGCGATTTTCTTAATCCGTGATTTCACCATCACGAGCGCAATGCCCTCATGACGGAGTCACAGCCGTACCCATCGGTCCTTTCCAAATCACGAAGCTTCCTGCTTACTTTTATATAAAACATTACACTAATATAATTAAGAAGTTAATCCCCTAAATTAAGTAGCAATGTGTAATTATACATGTATTTGAAAAGTGATAAAATTATTAGTATCATGCAAAATTCTTATGTATTTACGTATCTAACATCAAAAATTTGATATTTATATTTATAATATTTTGATATTAAATAATTATGCATGAAAATAAATATTTCATATTTTTTTAAGTTATAGTAATATTTTTTATCTCATGTCACAAATTTGATTAATATATTACTTTTTTCTTTTTTAAAAGGAATAGTCAAAGGCTATTATATGAGCCTCCAGTTTTAATATGCCTAACAATTCTCGAGTATCACCCTTCTTAAGACTTATGTTGTCAGAGGAGGATTAGAACCCCCGACCTGAGGGGTCTTACACCAATGATGTCAACCAACAGAGGCACTGTTGTTAAATGTGTAAATGTATAAAATTTATGTGGTATATATGCAAATGCCCCTAATTCAAACTTGAAATTTATAAAGGTTTACTTAAGTGGGTACATCCTCTCCTAAATTCCCATTAATAAATATGTTGTTTTGCAGATTTATAATGTGTGAACCTAAATTTTGATATTGAAATCCGCACAAGCAAAATGTTAGATACAAAAAGCGACAAATCAAAGGGATGGCCTACCAACATTTAATAAAGATTGTTACCTATAATCTCTATTAAATTTCCATTTTAAAATAGCCTCCAAGTGGACTCCTTCCATGTTGGCAAACTCTCCTGCACCAGGAACCTAGACTCGCATATCCTGATTGCCACATCATGCCTGAGCTCTTTGACCCAACATGGCTTCCGCCCCCAACTTCATTTGGTGGTCGTAAGCAGTGTTCCACTTCAAGCGGGCACTTACGCCTTCATATATACAGCAATTCGCTGCAAGGATTCCAAGCAACTCAAAAAGTTTAGGCCTTCCTGAACAGAAGCATAACGAACCAAAAGTGAGAACCAGAGGAAGGTCATGGAAAGGAGCGGATCTGAGCTGGACCTGCCAGGATTTCGGTTCCATCCGACGGAGGAGGAGTTGCTCGAGTTTTACCTCCGGCGAGCCACCGCCGGCAAGAAGCTCAACTTCGACATTATTGGAACTCTCAATCTTTACTTGTATGATCCATGGGATCTCCCTGGTATGTCTTCGACGCTCTGTTCTGACGTTGTTTCTTGTTTGCACTAATTTGATTCGTTGGAGGGTTGATCATATGATTGTGGTTTGGTCAATGTCTGCAGCTTTGGCTAAGATGGGGGAGAGAGAGTGGTATTTTTTTGTGCCGAGAGACCGCCGGCAGGCCAACGGCGGGCGGCCAAATCGGACAACGGAGCGCGGTTTCTGGAAGGCCACCGGTTCAGACCGGCCGATTCGTAGCGCCGCCAATCCCCGGCGTCTCATTGGCCTCAAGAAAACTCTGGTGTATTACCGCGGCCGCGCTCCTCACGGCAACAAGACGGATTGGGTCATGAATGAGTACCGGCTCCCTGATGTTCTCCCAACCTCTTTCTCCGTACCTCAGCCTCCCAAGGTACGAATTTTGCTCTTTATAATTACACTATACTTCATGTCACAACAAACTATTATTGAGCGAGTTTCATCATTATATTTATAAAGATGTCTTTTTTGCAACAGGAAGATATTGTTCTATGCAAGATCTATAGAAAGGCAACGTCGCTGAAGGAGCTAGAGCAAAGAGCGGCATTGGAGGAAAGCAGAACCAGTGCATCGGCAACCTCCGCCGACCAAGACAACATGCACAAGTTTTCATATGACAATAATGAAGTGATCATGGAGATGAAGGCGGAGTTTGACGTGCCGCCGGTTGAGTTTAATAAAGAGGCGGCAGAGGTTTCTTCGGCGGCAAACATACCAACCACTGTGCCTTTGTTGGAGCCATCAGCAGCTGTCGAATGCCCTCCAGTTACACAAGAACCAACTGCCAGTCGTCCGCCACCGAGCCCGGCGGCTAAGGTCCCATCAGGCCGGCAGCTGCCGATCCTGCCCGCAATTCAAGTTCCCAACCACAGCTTTGACCTGGTGCAGGACTCTTTTCTAAGTCAACTGCGGAGTCCATGGCTTGACCAGTGGTCGCCTTTATATGCAAGTTTGCTAAACTTTTGAACTCTGAAACGCGGAGGAAGTCTAGGTGACAGGCGACTTTCTGTACACGTATATGTGCATATTTACTTCGTAGGTGGCCGTTCGATCTACCAAAACTTGTGTGGATTTGTTCATATGTGTGCAGTGGGGAGGTGATGTAAAACTGAGTTTCTGAACAGAAGACGATGCGTTCTCTTTTATGGGATTGGTTGCTTTCATGGAGGTGTTTCATTGGATGGTTATGGGCTTTGTTTTGTTATTTTTAGTTTATTTTGTTTCTACTTGCATCTTTGTATGTGCGCCTATTGTGTACGATATCTTTATTATTTTATCTAAATAAAAAATGTTCATAGTTTTCCTATTTTAAAGAGTTTATTAATTTCTTTCTGATTGTATTGATACTTCATAGCACAATAAGGTTATCATATAATGGCTAGGAATTTATTGCCAAAAGTTAATAATTTTTTTGTGTATTTGGGGTGTAGATCTACAAGGGATAAATAGGGGTGTTGGAAGAGCTTGTCATTCGTGAAAAATAATCTTTGTTTGACACAATCTTGAAGCAAACGAAGTGAGCATTAATAGTTTCAGCTCAATTTTAAAAACAAAAAACTGAATACGAATGAATCTTTATTCGATCATGTTTAGCTTCATTAAGCTTGAATTAATTAAATAATTAAATAATTAAATAAATAGTATTTATTATCATTCTTTTATATTGGCTTTTTGTGTTATAGTTAAAATAATATTAAATTTATTACTTTTTAAATCATGCAAATTAAATACGAGCTGAGTATTAGCTGAAATGAAAAAAAAAAAAGATTCCCATTAAGTCAAACAAGAACATTTTATTTACAAGTCATTTCCAACCAAAGAAAAAAAAATCGAAGAAACTAAACACAAATAAGGACTTGCTAAAGTTTGGGTCGTTTATACCCCGACAGTCAACCTTTTCTCAAGTAGTTTGAGGCCATATTCCCCATCTCTAATAATTTGAGTGAAAAAAATTACTTTAATCTCTCTTTAATATTAAAACATTAGATTCATTTTCATACGTCATTTGAATGGAGGGAATATTCTGTGCACTGCAGGGCATGTAAATTGTGTGCGCTGTCCAATAAGATATTTAAAAAAAAATAAAAATGATGCACACTGACATATACTTTTTGTAAAGTGAGTGTTTTTATTGGTTCATCACACGTAGAAATGAGTGTGGTGAACGTACGCAATAATTTTTTCCATTTGAATGTGAAATATTAATCAATATTCATTTGATATAGGTTGTCACTTCTGAAAAACTGACCCCAAATTTTATGAAATTTAGTAACAAAATGAAAATATGACAACAATAATAAAAAGTAAAAGCCAAAAATTAGCTCCTAACAGAGTAACAGACATCCTACTGCCCGTTTGGGGCAGCTTATTTTGCTGCGGCGACGTTTTCAAAACGCCACGGCACGCCGCCGTGGTATTTGTTTAATGTGTTCAGCCATGCATTTTGAAAACTCTCGTAATCGCGTCTTATATTTTGTTCCACGGATCGGACACGGGGGAGGCCCTGCGTTCGGCGTTTGTTAGAGCTCGAATTCCTCCCGTGCCCCTGCGGTTTCTCCTTCGTGATCTCCTCTCCCTCGCGCTTTCCCTCGCGATCTCCTTTCCCGATCTTCTCTTTTGTAATCTTCTGGTGAGATCTATATGCCGTTGATCTTCTCTGTTTGGTTTTTATGTGGCTCGATTCTTTAATGCTAAGGTTTTTATGCGTTTTTTTTTATTTTTTTTAGGGTTATGTTGCGAATGGATTTTTTTTTTTAAGCTTTGTTCCAACTGTTGGAGTGAAATGGATCTGAGGGTTTTTTTTTATGCTTTCGAAATGGATCTTATGGTTTTGTTGAAGCAATGTGCCTGTTACTGTTGGAACCGTTGGAATGTTTAGGGGGAACTCTTGAAAATTTTTTTTTAGCCCTTACGTTTTGATTTTTTGGGTATTTTAGGTTCATGTTACTGTTGGAATTTTTCCAACTGCTTCTAACTGTTGGTATGTGAAGGAAGGTGCGGGCCTGTTATGTTGTTTGCTGGGTTGCATCTTTGATTCGTTATACTGTATAAACTGTTATGTGAGATTATAGCCATGGTTCCCTGTCACTGTTTCAATGCATTCCCTGTTAGTCTCGTTTGGTGTATCAAAGCAAAGGGTCCCTGTTAAAATTGTTTAGCTGCACCATTTATATTGATAAGCTCTTGTTATAACCTGGAAATATTTGCTTGGTCTTTTCGATCTTTTCGTGTTCTTGGCAATAGTGGCAAAGGTCATATTATTGAGGAGACAATGTTTACTTTCTGTTTTATATCAGACTAGTTTTATATCTGGCAATAGTGGCAATAGTTGAGGAGGTAATGTTTACTTTCTGTTTTATATCAGGCAATAGAGGCAATACTTAAATTATGACAATGACAATGGTTTCAATGTTTAGTTGCACCAATGGTTATAGCATATGCAATAGTGGCAATGTTTACTTTCTGTTAAATATGGGGAATTGCTCATTAAGAACTTGAATATTACACATGCCAGTTGTTTAGCTGAATGTATGCACCTTTAGTGGGACATAATTGGGTTATCTTCACTATCTTTGCAAGACCATTGCTATGTATTTGAATAAAGGAGATGCAACTATTGCTATGTTATATAAAGAGGAGATGTATCAAATGTAGATGTCTATCGAGAACCTTTGCTATGTATTTGAAAAGAATAGCTATGTAACCTTACACAATTTCATAATAAAACATATTCAGTGTCTTACTGTGGTTGTAGGTCTTTGACCGAACCACATAATTTCTATGTGTCATTTTTTTTTCTTCTGTGAGCAAAGTTTTTATCTTTATTCTCTGACATTTAGCTATTACCTCAGTTGGATTTGTTATGGATGTATGCTCAATTTGTCGATGTACGTTAACCTTTTAAAATATATCTATGTGTTTCTTCATATAGTACCTCAGTGTCTAAGACAAGTGAAGGTGGTCCATCAGCGATGTGGGATAAGGAGGTTACAATTATTTTTTGCAAACACTGCATCACCGAGATTGAGATCGGGAATAGGCCGACCACCTATTTCAACAAGGAAAGTTGGCATAACATATCAAAGAGGTTTAAAGAATTAACTGGAGGAGACTATGACAGACTAAAGTTTAAAAATAAATGGGATCATTTGAAGGAGTGAAAAATTTGGAAGGAGCTGAAACATGGATTCACAGGTTTGGGGTGATATCCAACCAAACGGACAATTGATGCTCCTAAGGAATGGTGGGCCGAGAAATTAGAGGTAAAATCGCCATTATGTTTTTAATACTTATAAATTTTTTTATTTAAACAAATATCTTCCATGACCCTAAATATTTATCGTAATTTTTTAGGCAATGCCGAAGGCAAAAAAATTCAAGCAGTGCGAAATTAACCCTGATCTTGAGGATAAACTTTATATTATGTTCAAGGGGGTAATGACAACTGGAAAGACTGCATTTAGGCCGTGTGAAACAGGGTTTGCAGGAATACCCGATGATTTGCCACCAGATCCGATATCAATTGACGAAGAAATACACAACATTAACTAGAAGGAGATGAGGGAATCAAGCTCACAGCTGAAGAGGCCAAAGCTAGGAAGAAGAAAGAAAATTAATGACACTTTTCTCAAAACTTCATTTGACAGACTCATAGATAGTTTTGGAGCACCACCGCATGCTCCACTACCTGACAACACCATCTTCGAATGTTTTCGCACTTTGAAAAACATCCCTGAAGTTGTATTTGATAAGCGCTTTCATGCAATATGTATGAAAAAACTCGAGGATCCAACACATTGGCTCATATTTATGGCGATGGAACTAGAGTTCCGAGTCGAGTATTTACGTGTTATTGTTAATGAATGATTCATTAGAACTCATCTGTTATTTGGATATGTTTTTCTTTTTTAATTGATTGTTTTTTTCTTTTTTCATCATGTTTGTTATTTGAATGCAAATTAGCAAAGCTTTTATTTTATTTATAATGTAATTTTACTAGCTGAGTGTTGTCATTATTTAATTCTTTCGCTATATTGGTTATTAATTGATGAAATAACCGAGATCTTTCTTTCTTTAGGATGGATCCACAACATGAACGTCGTAAGAGAATGACATTGGCTGCAGCTATTGTCATATTGCTATTGGAGTGTTACCGAACAAGCAGAAATCGTATACCCCGAAATCACATTTTTTTTTGGTTTTTTCCGCAGTTAAACAAACATGACTTCTAGAATATCAGTTACAGACAGGTCTTTTGTGTTTTTTGTGGTCTATCGGCTCCGTTGTTCACGTCACATCAGTCTAAAAGCTTTGGGAGGCAGTTCTACGGTTGTGCCAAGGGTGTTTCTGCTCGTTGCGGCTTCTTTCGGTAGACTGACAGTCCCTCATATTACACTGCCAGCAGTCATGTGAATCTGATGTTTTATCAGGTTGACAGTGCAGATGAGGACAGACGTAGCCAGAGTCTGAAATTAAATATTTTAATATTTTTCATTGTAGTTGTATTTGTATTTGTATTTTTTTAATTTCTCCTGGTACTCATGAAAGTGTGAGGACTGTATGTCATCTTTTATAACTGATCTATGATGATCGTATGCTTCTGTTCTACCAATAAACTATTCTGAATAAGCTGCCCCAAACGGTATTATCAGACGGGGGCAGAAATGTCATTTAACCACCAATAAGCTAATCTGAATAAGCTGCCCCAAAAACAAGAAAGATTATTCAAAATAATCATCAGCTACGCCATACAAACCCTTAATCTTATATAGAGGATGCAAAAGGCCATCTAACCCCGGCTCAAGACACATGAACCAAAGAGTGCTTGCCATATTTTTTATCTATTAACGAAAAACCTCAAAATAATTACAGAGTTTACTAACACTAACAGAAGCTAATTAGCTTAGGGTGTACGCAATAACGCTTGGCTGTTGGATTTAAATCACTAGAGGTAAAAAAAGAAGGATTTGACAGCTTGTAAAGGGTGTTGCACCAATGATTCACTTAAAAATTGTTAGCAACTCTTAAAAAATTGTTGCAATATCGCTGCGATGGTGGTGTTACTGTGAGAAAAGTATTAGGTTGCACTCACTCTGAACCCTTATGTCTATAATCTACTTGAGTTTTAAGGACTCCTGAACTGTATAAACAATCTTTCATTCATCTATAAATTACCATCATTTGGTGCTAAACCTTCTTCAAAGTTCGCTGGCTTTCACCAAAATTAAATGAAAAATTTTT